AATGGGCCGAGATTCCATAATTTATTTCTTAAATGGATTATACCAACCAAATTAAGAATATAAAATCTAGGACATTACAAATGTGACATATCACGTGGGCAATTTGTGACCTCAACCTTTGTTGATTATCTATAACTTTGTGTGATTATTACCCATTTTACGGACGATTTATCTAAATGTGACCTAAAATTTCATATGATTGTGACTAATAAGGCAATTATGCTTAAAAATTCTTTCCTTTATTCAAAAATTGTGTGTTATTGGATTTATTTAATCGAAAGATTATTCAAATAAAATGTATTGTTGATCTAAAATTTTAAATTCATCTTGTGACATAAAATTCATATGTTGGTAACATGCTTATGTATTTCGTAAAATCTCGGGATGATTGTGACCTATTGAATTTGTTTTCTATATATTTTTTGTGACCAGGTCAGTATCAGCTATTATTGTTTGCGACCAAATCTGTGTTAATAGTGACTATTTGTCACTAGGTCTGTGCAGCTATTACTATTTGTGATTAGGCCAGTGTAAGTTCTTATTATTTGTGAGAAAGTATGTGTTAATAGTAACTATTTTGTGACCGATTCTATAAGTTGTTAATGTTTGTTATCAGGTCTATTCAAACTGTTGTTTGTGATCAAGTTTGTATTAACAGTGATTTTTTGTGATCAGGTATGTCTTAATTGTGGCTACATGTGATCAAATCCTTCTAACTATGACTGCGTGTGACCAGTTCTCTATTAATAGTGATTGTTTATTACCTAATATGCTAACAGTGACTTTTTGTGAGCTATTATGTATTAATTGTAACTCTATGTATCAGGTTTATGTCAACTGTGACCAAAACTGTGTTAACTGTAATGTGTTGAATGTGACCTACTATTGTCTAACTGCGACATGTTATGACAATTGTCTTATCAACAATTTTCACTGTAACAAATAACCTAAATGATATAAGAATCATAAAAAATAGTTTATCATCCATAAGTACATAACAAAACAACCATCCTTAGTATTAAGAAGTTGAAAATATTCATCCTCTTGTACATAATAGCAACCAATATCCACCTACCTAAATATAATAAATGAAAAATCGTTGTCAAAAAAATTATGTTCACATAAAATCAATCGCATGTCTGTGTTTCTCTCTCCTTCCAATCTATCTAACTTGTCTATTCCAGAACAATAATGATGCTATTTGAAACCTTGCTTTGGTAGCATCAAATGACGTTGACATGTTTTCGAGATCGTTGTGGAACAAGTACTACACATACTTGATGACATTTGTTATGGTGCTTATTGTAATTTTCCTTGGAACCAAGAGTATTCATTGAACAAATATTTATAGTCCTGCATAAATTATAGTGTTAGACATGTAACTGTGACCTTGATCACAAACAAAAAAATGTAACCGTGACCTAATATTTTTTGATTGTTACCTATTCTATAGAAAAAATCATAAAATGTGGCATATGCAATCACTTGTGTTTCGCGCGAGTTTATCGGGTCTCGCAACAATTAAAGGATGATTCAGACGATTGTGTAAGAGAACCTCTTGAAACAAAGTTCCAACGAGTGGTGCTTTATTTACGAAGATTACAATGAAAAACGAAACAGAACGCCTCCAAGGGGCACAAACACACAAAATAATTTGAAAGTTGACGATAAGAATTAAAAGAAGTAAAATTACATATTCTCTATTTGATAGTGATTGATTCGGGGTCTTGTCTTTCTATGTCTTCTTTTCGTTTATACTTATTCACCAGTTTTCCTTGTGAAACCGTTTGGAAACTGTTTATTGCTCTATAACTGCCAATTTGCTTTATAATAGCTGACGTGTCAAGGAACTGCCCTTTTTAAACTGATGGCACTACTCTCCTCTTTAACTGCTTGCAACTGAAATCCTTGGATCGTGGAATGTGATAAGATTGCTTGATAAATGCTTCAATAACCACAACTCTAGATAACTACAGGACATTGTGTTCGCTCAGATCTTGGGCGTCTTCAAGGCCCGGGCAAGATTGGGATTGTAATTCTGAGCGCCCCTGCAGGCTTGGGCGATGATTATCCTCTGTTTATTGGCCTCAACTATGTTTTACAATAGTCTCATTTGGGTTTTTCCTTGTGAAACCGTTTGGAAACTGTTTATTGCTCTATAACTGCCAATTTGCTTTATAATAGCTGACGTGTCAAGGAACTGCCCTTTTTAAACTGATGGCACTACTCTCCTCTTTAACTGCTTGCAACCGAAATCCTTGGATCGTGGAATGTGATAAGATTGCTTGATAAATGCTTCAATAACCACAACTCTAGATAACTACAGGACATTGTGTTCGCTCAGATCTTGGGCGTCTTGAAGGCCTGGGCAAGATTGGGATTGTAATTCTGAGCGCCCCTGCAGGCTTGGGCGATGATTATCCTCTGTTTATTGGCCTCAACTATGTTTTACAATAGTCTCATTTGGGTCCATTCTTCAAATTTTCTAACTGGGCACCATTTCTTTGGACCATTTATTTAGGCCTCATTTTTGTATGTCAACACTATAGTTGCAAAACCAAGCTTGGAGCCCCCAAACAAATATAAAATTAGATGATAGCGCCTCTTATCACTGTTTCAACAAATTCCATGTGCAATCAAATGGATTTCATCCTCCACATACCAAACTCATTTAGCTCAGACCTAAACAAATTTAGCATGAATTATTTCATAAAAACTAACGTTAGACTACAATAATAGATTGTGTCAAAATTTAAAGATATTAAGTCACACCATGCCCAAAATCAAATCATAATATAGCAAAATCAAGTCACAAAATATCAAAATCGTGCCATATTCTACTGAGCCAAAAAGTGGTCACAAAAACCTATTCACATCATGCACATCTTACACATACACTATATTTGACATTGCAGAACATATACAAAAATAAACATTAACTGCAGGGGCAAGAGAACACATGAATTTTTTTTTCCACATAATCAAAAATATGCTACAATACAACATATATGAGTCACAAAAAACCCATTCAAAGCATACCTAACATATCCATAAACTATATTTCATACTGAAAAGCATTTGAGCAAAATAAATGAACGCAGATGAGGCATTCGCCTTCTTCGAGGATTTCCAGCCAGACATGGATTTCTTTATTCTTTTAGTTGAAGATTCTTCAACATTTTTCTTTCTTTTTAGCTCTTCGATTTTCATCTACACTTGAGGTTATCACCATTTTAAACAAAAATGTATGGTAAATGTTGCTCAGACAAAGGATTAATAGTGGGAGTCTTCAATTTAATCACGTGCAAAAAGTTCAGTAGTATTGATGGCAGATTTCAGGTATTTAGGAAAGTGAGGGGTTGAAGACACAATTCGAGTTGAGGAAGAGAGGGTTTAGAGAGATAAAGTAGTTTGGTGGTTATTGTAATGTAATTATTTGAAAAGATTTGATTTGGTCTTAGATAATGATCAAAAACGGTTAACATATGGATTTTTTTTTTTTTTTTTCATTTGCCTAGCACGGGTCGTGTTGGGCACTGCTTTCCATATCTACAAATGGTTATGGAAGAAATTGTTGAAATGAAAAGAAAAAATATAAATTCCTTTTCAAGTAAATTAAAAACGCGTTAGCTCTGTAGTCCATTCAATTCTATGACTCAATTTACATCCTCTTCTTTCGGTGGTCTTCAATTAAAAAAAAAACGTTTTCAACTGAGAATTCATCCGTTCATCCTTCGGTAAAAATTAGATTATCCACCCCACCCCCACCCCCTCCCATATTTCCATTGACATCCCAATAATCAAGATTTGAAAGAAAACTTTGTGAATCCCCTTCCCATTACAGACAGATATTGTTGAAGAAAATGTCATTTTACGGTTCGAAGAATAATGTGGACCTTGAGGCAGGCAATGGCCAACTCTACCCGGGCATGCAAGAACATCCACAATTGCGATGGGCTTTCATCCGTAAAGTTTATTCCATCCTTTGCGTACAGTTGCTTATAACTTTTGGGGTTGCTCTTGGCATGTTTTTAATCCCTCCGGTTAGAGAATTTATGCGTTCAAGGAATGGCCTCTACACCATGATCGCTCTTATAGTTGTCACCTTCATACGTAAGTAAACCTTAATTTTTCTTCATTGATATGTGACTATTCCCTTTTATTTTTATTTCAAGATTTGGGTTCATTCATTGCATATTGTAAATGAACGCTAGACACCAAATTTCTCGATAATTTTCTCGATTTGTTTACGTATATTTTATTTGTTGTCAATTTCAGATTTAATACGAATAATATTATGTATTTATGTTGTTTTAGGGTTTCTATAATGCGTGACAAAAAAAAAAAAAACAATAGGAAAATTTGTATATTTCCTGTATTTTGCATTCATATACGTGGTTTGGCTAATTGGGTTTGAGAAATTTTTTACTCATCACTAACTAATTGCAACATGTCCATCAAGGAGAATGGAGAAGAGAACCCATAGAAGTAAAAAAATGACTTGAATGTGTAATCGATGTCCTCAAAATAAATTTGCCCTCACTAGGATTATTTTTTATGCTTAAAAGAACACAAGACAAATGGATTGTAGAATGGAACAAGCCTGAGAAGAAGATAAACATTAAGCACTTGTGTTTTCTCTTTTGAACTTGAAGAACACTAAAGTAAATGATGAATACGTATAGAAACTTTTGAATAACTCTTTCAGTATGGAATGATATCGTTGTTTGGTGGTTTTATTATATTTTATAATCAAATCTATCTCCTATTTATAAATTATCATTCATACAACACGAAAAGGTTTCAAAGTTTCATGAAAAGATGAGTTTTTCATGAAAATGCTCTAAAAATGGACCAAAATTTCAAACCCAACAGTTCGCCCAGTACAAAACTAGGCAATTGCCTAGGCCAAGTTTTTGGCCACTGGTGATCAATAACAAGGCTGGGCACTTGTCCAAGCCAAAATTTTGGCTCCTCCGTTTTTCCTTCTTGTTTTGTTTTAGGTGTTTTTGTAGATGCTTGACACACCCATATGGATGTATTATCATTCCAATACACTTATCACTATAAGTTTGAACAATAAATTACAACAGTGAATAGGCACATATTGAGTCCTATATGATCTAGTGTAATAATCATGTATTTTTGAGTCTTCTTGAATAGGGCACTATGGTTTTTTAGCACTTTTCATTGATAGTATTCTCAGTTTTTGCTTAATTCTTAGTAATGTGCATGTTCTTATGGATTTTAGGAATTCATGATAGTGATCTGTCGAGATTGAATAAAGCAGTATTTTGAATACTAAATTCGTATCCATGCAACACACATATTCATTTGAGGTATTTGGAACAGGGGCAGAGTCAACACCCGGCAAGCCCCTGTTGGCTCCGCCCGAAATTTTTTTGTTTTCCTTATATTTTGGCGGCCGCCCCACCTAGATTTCTGACTCCGCCACTGATTTGGAATGTAGTTAATAAAATACTGAAGGGGAGGGGTAGAACGTGGTTTTTCGTATGTGATCAAACTATACAAAAACTTGTTTCTCGTTTAGTATTGATAACTTGAATGATTTTGTACACGAATACTACTATGCCTTTTTTTGCCTCGATGAGTTTATTGATTTGTTTGTCTTTGCAGTGTGCATATTAATGCATTACGTTAGAAAGCGTCATCCATGGAACTATGTTGTCATGTTTCTCTTTACCTTTGCAATGGCATTTATGATTGGAGCAGCTTGCAATCAGAAGAAAGGTAAGAATGAATGAATTTAAATAAATATTGAAAGAAGATCGCGTTAAAGGCCGTTTATCAAGACTTTTGAAAAATCGAAATGAACTTTTGAGACCCAAAAGCAGTTTTTGGACTCGTTTGATTAAGATTATAAAAGTATTTCTTATTATTAAAAGAGGTTTTAGAGGAAGCCAATCCAATGTGACTTCCTCTAAAAGCACTTCTGGAATAAGAAGTTCTTTTAAAAATTAGTTCTTAAACAAAAATTAATATAACTTCCTCCAAAACTTCTTCTACAATAAACAAAACCAAAACACATTGCCAAACGAGCGCTTAGTGTTGGAGACTCATTTGATGGAGCACTAATTTTGAGAAGAAGTGGCCCTCCCCTCTGCTGCTTGGAAACCAATCCAACGGAGAGTGTTTGTTTGTACAATAATCATATTTTTTTAATAAACTCGCTCTCCCTTGGCTAGGCTATCAGCAGCTTCCACTTAGGACTATCTTTGGTAATAATTTAATTGTTTTTCTTCAGCTATAGTCTATGATTATTGATGGATTGGCAGGTGAAACTGTCTTGATGGCTGCTGGTCTAACACTTCTAGTCACTGTTGGCCTCACTGTCTACACATTCTGGGGTGCAAAGAGAGGCCAAGACTTCAGTTTTCTTGGCCCATTTTTACTTTGTGCATTGCTCTTGCTCTTGGCATTTACTCTTATTCGGGTGGGTATTCCTTTGTTTCATTTCATAATATTTATTGTTTTTGTTTTGCGAAATCTAATTTTGTGAAAAAACAGATCCTCTTCCCTATGGGAAGAATGGGAGAGCTGGTGATAGGTTGTATTGGAGCACTCGTGTTCTCAGGTTTTATCATATACGATACAGACAATCTAATCAAACGTTTTGACTATGATGAGTATATTGAAGCAGCTTCTTGTCTCTTCCTCGACATATTAAACCTCTTCATGTATATTCTTATGATTTTGAATGGTGATGAATAAGAGACCCCGCACCATGCCACCACCTATGGTGTTCATATACTTCTTTCGAGGGTAAGAGAGCGTCTTCTTGTTAGTTGAAGTATTGATATCCTATACTTGCACTTAATGTATGGATGAAACTTTTGTCCAAGTATTTGACAGACAGCTTAACATTATTACATGTGGTAGTAGATTGTCAAATGAAAAAGTTAGCTATATTTTAAACTGTTCAATAATAGAATAACAGTCGATATTGTATCAATTTTGATGTTCATGAGTATGATTGATTTTTTACTATAGGTTAAATCCATCAATGGTCATCCAACTTTATATTTGATGTCACTATGGCCACCTAATTTGATTTTGTTTCATCATGAACACCCAACTTTATACATAGTGTTACCATGGTCATCCAATTTAATTTCATTGCACAATGATTATTCAATTTTATATAACGTTTTACCATGGCCACTCAATTTCATACAACATTTCACTAGGTCACCCACTTCTTTTCACCACTTTCCTTAATTTTAAAAATGGTACAACGGTAACTTTGCATTATATATATATAAAAATATTTTTTTAAAAAAATTAAAATGAAAACTTTTTTTAAAAAAAAAAATTATTTTAAAAATTGCTACTCAAAAAATTAAATTAAAAATGTAAATGTAAATTAAAAAAACTAAAAGTAAATAAAAACTTATTTAAAAAAAAAAGTTACTAAGAAAAATATTGGTGTTCATATACTTCTTTCGAGGTTAAGAGAGCGTCTTCTTGTTAGTTAAAGTATTGATATCCTATACTTGCACTTAATGTATGGATGAAACTTTTGTCCATAATGTATTTAGGATAAAGTTACTTTGCCAAAAGTATTTGACAGACAGCTTAACATTATTACATGTGACAGTAGATTGTCAAATGAAAAAGTTAGCTATATTTTAATTTGATGTCACTATGGCCACCTAATTTGATTTTGTTTCATCATGGACACCCAACTTTATACACAGTGCTATCATGGTCATCCAATTTGATTTCATTGCATAATGATTATTCAATTTTATATAACATTTTATCATGACCACCCAATTTCATATAACATTTCACTAGGTCACCCACTTCTTTTCACCACTTTCCTTAATTTTAAAAATGGTACAACGATAACTTTGCATTATATATATAATTTTAAAAAAATTAAAATTAAAAAGAAAACTTTTTTTAAAAAAAATTATTTTAAAAATTGCTACTCAAAAAATTAAATTAAAAATGTAAATGTAAATTAAAAAAACTAAAAGTAAATAAAAACTTATTTAAAAAAAAAGTTACTAAGAAAAATAAAATAAAAACTTTTTTAAAAAACAAGTTACTTAGAAAAATAAAATAAAAAGTTATTTTTAAAAACATTCCTTAAAAAAATAAAATAAAAACTTAATTGAAAAATATTTTTAAAATAAAATAAAAACTTTTTTTAAAATAAACATTTTTAAAATTAAAAAAAAAACTTTTCTATTTTTTAATTTATTTTATATATAATACAAAGTTACTATTTTACCTTTTCAAAATTAGTAAAAATAGTGAAAAGAAATTGTAACCATTGTGAAACGTTAAATGAAATTAGATTGTCATGATCAAATAAATCAAATTGAGTCACTATTGTGACACTATATATAAAATTAGATAGCCAAGATAAAATTAAATTAAATTAGGTAATCATAATACACTAAATATAAGGTTTGGTGGTCATCGATGAATCTAACCCTTTTACTATTGTATTAGAACACAAGAATGTCCAGTTCAAACTTAAGAGTTAAAAATGTTTTGGATAGATACCCCAATAATTGACTAATAGGGAAAAATAGGCAAAGCAAAGAAACTAATCCAAAGAAATCTATCACATAAAGTGGTAATTACAGATGAAGACATAGTTTACACCTAATTAGAAACCTTAATCTAATAATATCCAACAAACAACATTTCAAGAAAAGCAGCCAACATATTCCAATGGGAATTCCCACATTCTTTTTGACCAAACCCTACTACAAGATCCTCCTTTTCTGTAAAGGAACAAAAGACTTGGGCTCACATGACTTTCTTGCTTTTCCTTCACTTCACTTTTCAACAGTTCACAAAAATCACAACCCCAAAATTACATTCATGGAAGTATAGAGGACCCCATTTGGATAAACTTTTACTTCAATCTTCCTTTTTACATTACCAACACAAGAACGAACAAACCAATCCAACCCATATTTTAAAATAATAAGGTTAGTCCGATATTTTGGCAAAATTAATAATCTAACAGTAGTTGTAGAGGGAAATTCAGGTTCTATATCTGCTGTTTTTCTCTGCAGCAATAGCAAGAAGCCTTGAGACACCTTGAGTCCAAATATCGTATTCCCTTTGGCTTTTGCACTCGAATTCAACAATCCCTCGTGCCACGGTCTTCAATGCGAAATATCGTCGATCTTCACCACCCTCGAGCAAGTGGCGGCCGGGCCATGCCGGAATGTCCTTCAACACCTCCAGCACTACATCTGAAAATTCAAAAGAAAAAGATAAAGATAAAGATGCTAGCTTTAGCACTTTCTCAGATCCCCAAATAGAAGTCCCACCACCTCCAATTCTGATCTCATCATGAGAGATTGAGAAAGACAAAAGCAAAAACAACTTACTCTTTTTCTTTTTAGTGACAGTCCCAGCAACATGTTTGCTTTTCATCTTCAGCATAACCTAAGCCAAAAACAAAGGAATAGTAAGAGCATGTTTGGCTAAGCTTAAAATTCAATTAANCTTGTTTGTTTCCAATTAAAATCCAATTAAAAGTAAAAATATAGCCGTTATTGGGTCTCACTCGTCTAATAAAAGTCAACAATAACGACTAATTTTTCAATTTTAATCCGATTTTAATCTCTACCGAACACGCCTTAAGTTTTATATGGCAAGAAAAAGTGAAAAAGCAGAGTCATATTGTTTCTACCATTCAAAACTTAACTTTTCCTCTTGATTGCAGTTTCCATAGTTGATTAGATATTATCAAGATTGGCGTATCAAAGTGAGTGCGATTATGCATCAAAGATGGTTAATTATTCAATCATAAAGAAGAAAGCATACCTGACCCGTCTTTTTGATGTAAACTGACACGATTTTCCAGTGAAGATCACCTGCATTTGTACAGGCATAAAACTTTAATTGCTGAGTATTTGTACAATTATAAATAATATATAACCGGGAAACTTGAAATATGACGAGTTACCATTGCGAGTTCGCTTCAGGAGCTCAGAACCTCTGGCAAGCAATTCTCTACTGCAAATTCCAAGGAAATTCTCTTCAGGAACAAGCTCCCCACTAAAACTACTATTCGAGCTTCCATTACTGCCCCCATTACCACTGGTACTAGCTCCCATCCCTTTATCAACAGGAATCACGGCTGCAATATTCCACACTTCCTTCAATGCCCTTGCCCTTAATGTGGCTGCACCACGCAGAGCTATATAATATAACTTGATTAGAGAAATTCAGAAAATCAACATACCACACGAAACATAACAATATCATCAATCTAGATATATAACAACCGTTTCACCATGTCAAACTATCAAGCAGCAATTTCCAGATAAATTATAGAATAACAAGTATGGAATTTAATTCCCCCAATCCCCAATAAAAATCCGAGAAAGCATACCGGTAGCAGCAGCAGCTGTTAAGGTCATGATATCGCCTGCTGACCGAACATTGACAGCCGAACTAACAACGGAAGCCAAGTGTTCGCGTTCAGCTCCCATTGACTCGGCTGCTTCAACACATTGTGCCGCAACCAATGTCGCAGCAGATGCCACAGCCATGTCGGTTTTAGCCATCTGCTCATCCTTTCCTGCCCCAGATGATGCAGCAGTGGCAGCAGCTATGGCAGCAACAGCTGCAGCAACCCCGGCAACAGAAATGGCAGCATGGAGCTGAGCATTCTGTGCTCTACTCTCCTCTTTCTTTTTCTCTCTCCTGTCCTTCAACCACCTGCCCACTGTCTTTCCACCGCCACTCATGGTGGTGCCACTAGGGGCATTTCCACGATACTGGCTATTTATTGGGTTCAGTCGACAGTACTGCAAATAATATCCATCTTCAGCACTTATACTCGTATAATAATGCAGTAGATAGAGTGTGATGCCACGACACATCCAACATGTAAAGACCAGTCGTGATCGCAAAATAAGCAACAAAATAAATCTGAAAAAGCACTTCTAGGCCACGAATGAACCACATATCTAGTGATTCAACTAATGTGACCCACTGTAACCCACCCCCACAAGTATATTGGTCCAGTTTCTCAAGGTAAGTGATAAATTAAAACCATATTCTCAGAGAAGGATGAAAGCTAGGGTGCCCAAACAATCATTCCTATACTCCCCATTCTGATAGGCAATTGAAAGGACAAACATGTAATTCCAAAACAATCTCATTCTTATCACAGGTAAAGACAAAAATGATCAGTAAATCTGCAGTTATTCTGTACTAAAAGAATAGTACTTTTTTTTTTCCACTAATCAAATATTGATATAAAATTACAGTAAAAAGGAAAATTATACAAGAAACTCAATATGAACGAAGCTATTTTAACAAGCACTGAGTATGTAGGTGGTTAAAGAGAAAGTTACTATTATGCCTCTCTAATTGGCATCAGAACTCGTGGTTTGCAAACACGGTACAGCTGGACAACTAGTTTGAGACCCTATGAGGCGTCAAAATTGAGGTCATTCAATTGAATAAGCGTCATTAAATTCAATGGTAAAACTGCGTATCATGTCAAGGACCGTAAACAAAGCTGTCGACTTCGTTGTATAAGTGTAGCAACTGTATAATGAACAAAAAATTTAACTTGCTGAATGTAAATTAAACCTTGGGGTCATCCAATTCAGGGGGTGAGACAGGAGGGCTGTCAGTGAGAGATCCACACCCATTAAGAGGTCCACTGCTATGGGATAGCCTTCCAGAAGTGCGTGGTGATGCATCCTGCTGTGCATTTAGTA